CACACAAGGTATAGGCAGAAGAATAGCCCTTAACCTCTAGCTCAAAAGTGTAATTACAAGAGAAGATGCAGAATAGGTAGGGGGGGGCAAATTTCTTTGAGATTGGTTTTCTGATGTTATCTATCTCCCATCCTGTCAGAGACCAGGACCCCTAACAGGGACCCCTGCCAGCCTTCCCCCTCGCCTGGAAACCGAAGCCTTGTCACCCACCTACATCCTGTTCAGTTGAATACCTTGACTATGCCTCATCCTGCTGAAAGCTGATGCACAAAGAGATAGCTACTTCTGAGAAAAGCCCCTAACCACAAAATGTTCTAGGGCACAGGCCAAGAAGAAGCTGTACCTTTCCATGACCCCACCTGCCTTCCCCCTCCCCAACCCGAGCTTGTTATAAAAAGCTTGCCTTTTTTAAAATACACGGCTCTTGACAAGCAACCGTTTGCTTGGGTCCTTCCTTTCTCTCGCCCGTTTCTCTTCCAGGTTTTGGTTCCCCTCGCCCCCACGAATAACCGAGTCCCGCAGGCCGGGCAGGTGGCGCCCACCGTTTGGGGCTCGAGGCACGAACCTCTCCGGACGGACACCCCAAGAGAGAGCAGCTGCGACATCGTTGAAGAGAGAGGCAGTCGTCGCCGCCCTAGACCTGCCGACCTCGGTGAGTTTTACTTTCATTCCGTCCCATAGAAATGGGCCATTCATTGTCAAAGGAGGCGAGTTTCATTAAGGGCCTCAAAGATGCACTCAGAGAGAGAGGAATCAGGGTAAAGAAAAAGGATCTCGTAAAATTTTTTATTTTTGTTGATGAAAAATGTCCTTGGTTTATGATTGATGGACCGACTATACATCCAAAGAAATGGCAGAAAGTTGGACGAGAATTAAATGAAAAAATAGCCAAGGATAAAGATGAGGGAATAACAAAGACAATATTTTCTTTTTGGGGTTTAATTAGAGATGTCATTGAGGATGCTCAGGGAGATGAGGGAAAGCGCCAACTGCTTTCGGTGGCTGAATATTGTCTTAGCCAGTCTCGTCCTGGGTCGCGAAATTCCAATCGCGACCAAGATCCATCAGACACCTTGACCAATGAAGCTGGCCCCGCCAGGGAGATTGATCCCCTTAGACCGCCCTCCCGGGCATCTGACTCCTTTTCCATCCTTGATGTGTCGGTCACTTCACCTAAGCCCTCCCCCGTTCGCCTTTATCCCCCTCTGCCATCGCCCCCCCTCCTCTCTTCCTCTCCTTTGCGTCCGCCTCCATATGTTCTACCCTCCTTCCCCTCCCAAACCCTGAGGGTGGATTGACCCTAGCCTCTATCTCTGGCATGGGCACCTGCCTGCTTGGGCCCAAGATGCTTCCCCCTAGAGATCTTTTCCCTGTTTGCAATCAGACTCTCACTATCAATACAACCTATCTGTATGTGGTTGCGCCTAATAATACCCTCTTTGCCTGCTCAAATGGACTGACCGCTTACATCTCCACCTCCAGATTCCTTTCCCATGATTATTGTGTTGTTGTTACCGTCCTCCCTCAATTTTTTGTTTATGAGCCCAAGTCCTTCCTACGCTTCTTTGAATCCGGGGTCCCACACAGAGACAAGAGAGAGCCTCTGACTGCGCTCACCCTCTCAGTCATCCTGGGTCTGGGTGCAGTCGGGGCAGGAACGGGTATTGCGTCCCTTGTAAGGAATGACCAAAATTTTGCCCACCTTCAGTCTTTAATTGATCAGGACCTTGGTCACCTGAGAGAGGGCATCCAAGACCTCACTGAGTCAGTGGCCTCCCTTTCCGAGGTGGTCCTCCAAAACCGACGAGGACTTGACCTACTCTTTTTGAAGGAGGGGGGATTGTGTGTGGCCCTTAGAGAAGAGTGTTGCTTTTACTCAGATAAGACAGGTTTGGTGAAAAACAGTTTAGAGAAAGTTAAAAAGAGCCTTGAAGAGAGAAAGAAAGCAAGAGAACAACAAGAATCTTGGTACAAAAATTGGTTTTCTACCTCCCCTTGGCTTACTACCCTGCTGCCCACTATATTGGGGCCCCTTGTTGGTATTCTTTTGCTTCTCTCCTTTGGCCCTTGGGCTTTTAATCGCCTCACAAGTTTTGTTAAAAACCAGATAGATTCCACAGTTAAAAGACCAGTTGAAGTCTACTACCATCAGCTAAAAGCAGAGGATGACACCGAGGCTGTCGCCCATGTGGTGGTGACACAACCTGAAGATGAAGATGTGGGGCCCGCGCGCTCCTCCCTTGGCCGGCCTCTTAACTTTCGGGCCCTACAGGGGAGCTCCTGGCTCTCTTGGCTGACCTTCCGTATCCCTAGATAATTGAAGACAGGCGTCTCTATCCCACCCCATTTAATTGGCTTGCCCTTGTTATTGCTTGAAAGAACCTCCCAATAGCTGCCTCGACAGCTGCATCCCGGCCTTGGCCTAGCTACATCCCAGCCTTGGCCTAACTGCAAGCCTGGCACTAAACAGGACGCGACCTCATAGCCCCTGCACCCTGAGGACTTGCTTCCATTGCACCAGGAGTGGGTATGAGGATCGCAAGGGGACCAGCTCTTGCACCTCACGGGCCTTAGCTGCCATTGCACGTGAGAGAGTGGTCTCCCCTTCTCCTTCATGACCACGAACTTGGTCTTGACAGACAGCCAAGACTGTCTACCAACGGTGCCTCTCAATGGCCTTGCTGCCCTTATGGGACCGCGAGCTGCCTACGGCCGGGATGCCCTCCCAAATTCGCCCATCCTTGAGTTTCTTCCTCTAAAAGACGCCCTCTTTAGTTTACAGGGAAGGGGGAGATGTCAGAGACCAGGACCCCTAACAGGGACCCCTGCCAGCCTTCCCCCTCGCCTGGAAACCGAAGCCTTGTCACCCACCTACATCCTGTTCAGTTGAATACCTTGACTATGCCTCATCCTGCTGAAAGCTGATGCACAAAGAGATAGCTACTTCTGAGAAAAGCCCCTAACCACAAAATGTTCTAGGGCACAGGCCAAGGAGAAGCTGTACCTTTCCATGACCCCACCTGCCTTCCCCCTCCCCAACCCGAGCTTGTTATAAAAAGCTTGCCTTTTTTAAAATACACGGCTCTTGACAAGCAACCGTTTGCTTGGGTCCTTCCTTTCTCTCGCCCGTTTCTCTTCCAGGTTTTGGTTCCCCTCGCCCCCACGAATAACCGAGTCCCGCAGGCCGGGACACCATCCCAGTCCCCTGGTATCCCCAGCCCCATCACTGTAACCCACTGGGACATGTATGGCAGGCAGTCAGGGGCAAGCAAAAGTGCTGGTGAGTAACAGCAGACACCTAAGACTTTGGGAAAGGAAATAACCTCTCTAGCTACAATAATTGCCACCAAAACAAGACAAAGAACATTTTTGCTTTTGTCTCTCCCCAGTTTCCTGCCATCTGACTATGGGGTAGCTCTTCACAGGAACTGTGCAGTGGGACAGAGAAACTGAAACCTTAGCCTTCAAGCTTAATGACAAATAAATCGAAATTTGGGGAACACAGTACTGGGAAAGCTGAGAGCAGGGGCAATTCAAAGAATGTGGGCTTAGGGGACCATCCCCAAGCTGTGTTTGAATGCATCTGATTTATAACAGCACCCTGGAGGCATTCAGAGCTAACTATAGGACAAACAAATTTTGGCTACTTTGCAGAAGCATTGAAAATAAGTTGACATGGAAACCACAGCCCATGAAATGTTGACTGTGACCCAAATATAGCTGAGTTGGTTTTTTTTTTGCTATAAAAACAAACAAAACACCAAAAACAAAACAAAGCAAAACAAAACTATTGTATTAAAACAAGATCCAAAGTCATAAAGCATGGTAGCCTGGCATTCAAAATGTCTGGGACATATTCCAAACTCTTATCCAAACACAGGATGAAAAGTCTCTGAGCAGCTTAAAAAGAAAGGACAACCAGCAGACACTAAGCAAATGCACCAGAGAGGCAGCATTACAATAACACTTCAGGCAGTAAGACAAAAGCACTTAAAAGGGATGAAAGATAAAAAGTCTCACTGAAGAAACTGGGCTTTCAGAAAACAAGAATCATTAGAACCAAACACTACGATAAAAAAGATAGACCTGCCACTTGACGTGCTTGGTGCAGTTTACGAAACCCAGAGACAGAAAACCTGAGATAGGTCAGTAAGTCTCCAGTATGGAGAGAGAGAGAGAGAGAGAGAGAGAGAGAGAGAGAGAGAGAGAGAGAGAGAGAGAGAGAGAGAAATCAACAAACTAGCCAAGCAAACAAACAAACAAATTGAAAACAGTAAAACCATAGGAACACAGCTGAAGAATCCAGGACAATACCCAGGCTTCAGTGTACAGATGAAGAAGCCGGTACATGGCACAGAAAAAAAAAAATTCGAACAAGAATGTATGAATTTTGTCTGAGTCTGTGAATGGGTTGGAGAAAGATAAGCCATTTACAACCCTTTGGCTAGTTAGACATTTTTTTTAACTAAATCACTTAAGCTACTATATGAGGTGTGACTTGGCAGTTAGAAACTGGCCCCTCATTTTCTGGAAAGGCAGCAGTGACCTCCTTCTGCTGATAGAGTTGACACTCTTGGTGTTAAATGTGAATTCACATAGCAGAGGAGGAGCTCAGAGTTTAGGAAATTTGAAAAAGAGACCAGAACTAGTCATGGGCAAAGAAAGACAAGACTGGGAGACATGTACAGGAAGCAAGAAACCCACCCAGCAGAAGCTAAATTGTATAAAGATGAGGAAAATGGCTCAGAGACCCTTTTGCTTGCAACCTTCAGAAAGTCCACACCATCTGGCGTGTGCACATAGTTCTCAGTGGTCGGGACTGTAATGGGGTGCAGGCAATATGGCTCCACCCTACACTTTACCTTCCTCTGCATGACCTGTCTCATTCCCGCTGCCCCCCACCCCGGGTCCCCCTATTCCTATGTGAAATTCAGAGCCAACAGCAACCACATGTTTCTTTTGTCGGCTCAGAGTACTGGAAAAGAATTTGCCATTCTCGGGTCCTCCAGAAAGAAGAGAACCAAACTATTGTTTCAGAAGAACCATAAAACATGTAATCATGTCTGGCTCCACAGGAAAACAAGGGAGGACAAGGTTGGTATGTTCTTTTTTCGGTGGAGCTAGCAGGTAGAGTCATTCACATTTGAACTGAAATTGGAAGACAGAGTATTTGACAACTTGTCTGTTTGTTGCAAAGCATTTGGTTGGAGAGAGCATGGTAGACAAAACTCTGGAAAAAGAGTTCTAGGGTAGGTTGACATAGGAAGGAAGCCAGCCCATCCTGTTCTATATCCACTAAGAAGATTCTGGAACACTCTGGCCTGAGATTCCCAAGCTTGCCCTCTATAGACTCCTGCATTAGCTAGTTTCCCAATAATGTAACAAAATGCCTATGATGAATTACTTATTTTTTTAAAAAAAATGTCTTGCTCATCATTTGGAAAGTTCTAGTTCATAATCAAATGACATCATTGATTTGGGACTCTATTAAGAGTGGTACATGAAGACAAAAGCCAGCCTAGACATGGTAGTCCACACCTTTAATCCCAGCACCCAGGAGGCAGAAGCAGTGGATCTCTTTGAGTTCTAGACCAGCCTGGTCTGCACAGTGAGTTCCAAGATGGCCAGAGCTATGTCATAGTAAGATCTTGTCTCAAAAGACACACGGGTTTCAGAATTGCTTAAATAGCATGTCCACAATGACCTTACCATTCTCCCAATAGCCTTCCCTCTCAAATGTTCTACTAGCTCCTGGAAGCATCACCCTTGGGACTAAACCTTTACACAGCAACCTTTGGAAACACTTGTCCCAACCATGACACCATTCATTTTATGAAAGTATTTTCTCATATTTATCTCAAACTATAATTCGCACAAGAACATAAACTGTTGCTTCACAGAATGTGTGTTTCTAGAGGGGAAATTCCAGGAGTCCTGGAGGAAATTATTAACATGGAGGAGGCTGATTCAGATGAATCAAACCTGCTTGAATCTCTCCATTTCTTCTGAGACCTTGTTAGGAAACTGTAGCTGGTGTGAGGACCAAGCCAGGCCTGTGCTTCAATGCAAGATTCTTAAGGAAAACATTAATGTGCCCTACAGCCCAACTGATGTTATTGGCACTGTGGTGTCTTGAGGGAAGAGGCTGATTTTCCATTCTGTTTGGCATCCCAAAAGACTTAGCCCAGGCTTACACAGCCAGGAGGCTCTCCATTTCTTCCCCAGGGTGTGAGTGGACAAAAGAAGAAATTGCTTTGGGCTGATATTCTGATGCAGATTCCGCAGGATGATTCATCTTATCATGATCAAATTTTTAACATCAATGCATGCAGATAAAAGGCTGGCTCTCTGATCTCTGGAAATATTGTATGTAGTTCTGGGCAAGCCTTTAAAGGACATAAAGAAGCTGGGGAAGTGAGGAGGAGGACATGGAGAACGATCAAGGAGGTGGGGGACAGGAATGCCATTCAAGGGGAGATCAAAATGGGACGCTTTGTTCTAGAAATATAAAAGCTGAGAGAGAGATTATCAAAGTCACTGAAATCCTAGAGGGGATGGACAGGGTGGGTCAGATTCCTCTGCACACGATGCCCCTTACTGCACACATCACAGAAAAAACTGGGGGAGGGGTCCATTCCAAGTCATGGTTTCTCTCTGTTCCTCCTTCAAATTGAGAATCAATTTTGAATGAGCAATTTCAAACTCTCCTGAAGGGTCAGTCGTGTAAGCTATTGGGCATCTGGATTCACTGAAAACAAGATGATTGTAAGCTGCTTCTAAAAGCAATTTACTAAAATGTTGAGGTTCTGTAAAAATTTTCATGGACAAGGCTAATCACTGAAGACAGACTGACAGTGTCTTAAAAATAACAGACTATAGATGGATGTACATGTTCAAAGGGAAGAATTGGAAAGATGCCCTCCAAAACTCCTGACTGACCTGGAGGGCCAAGCTCTCTAGAAAGCCTTCTGCTCACAGTAAGTTTGGTGGCATGTCTCTGAATTGTATATCAGACTGAATTTGAGGGTTGGTTTCCTGACATGCGACCTTTATTGCAACTGATAGATTGTCTAAATCCAATTGGCTTAAGCACAGAAAGAAGTTTTGATTGAAGTTCATGCAATTGCACAGACTAGACAGGCCTCAAACATATCATTTGATAGAAATCAGTTAACCCCTCCCCCAGCCATCCTTGGCTTTCCTGTGTATAGAGCACAGTGTGTATGGATTAATGCCTGTAGCCTAGCAAAGTCAACATGATTCTAGTGCTGAGGTCACAGAAACAGTTAGATTGTATGCCCATTCATCCCTGTAATCAATTTGGATTTTGATCCTAATTAAAAAGGCTGATTAACCAGATCTGAGTCACAGTTTTATCCTTAAGGCTGAGGAGTACGCCATCCTATGCCACCTGTCTCTAACCATATGATTTAACTTTGTAAAAACCCAAAGAGCTACAGACAAACTGAAGTTAATCTGTAAGATGTAACATAGAAACATTTCAGCTGGTGACCATGTTCAGAATGCTTTTTGGAATGTGCTTGACCACATCTTTGCACAAACCCTGCACTTCTCAGTGAGTCTTACTCAAAATCTCCTCCTCCAAGAAGACACTCCTGAGGCCCTGTCAGTGATCCCTCCCTCCTTTTTCTGTACTCCAATGGCATTCACCACAGGCGGTCTATCTTCTCTCTCCAAGTCCTCTATTGGACAGCCTTCCTGTAAGTTCAAAAGTAAAGTCAGCCAGGGGGATTATAGCACAGGGTGTGTACCCACCAAACATGCTTTTCTCTAACAAGAGTGCACTTTAATTCTGACAAAGCATGGGCACACATATTCCCTGCAAGGTGACACTGTGGAAGAGCTATGTGGCAGAGGGACCAAGCCACAGGAAATGTACAGACTGTGTCCTAACTGCATCTCATTGAAACAGAGCATGACACAGAGAGGTGTGGGCAGAAGGCTTATTGGAGAACACTCTTGGGGCACATAACTATAAGAAAGCAAGGATTTTTTTTTTTTTTTTTGGAACAGAGGAAAACCTGGTTCATAGTGCATCAGAAGATAATCCAGCCAGTCCTAGTGGGAATTCTGGAACTGGAGTTGCTTTAAACTTAACTGAAGTTGTTTTAAACCAAGGTAAAATGCTTATGTTTTCCTTTAGCCATTCACGACTGTAAACTAGCCCTTGGGAAGGCTGGGGAGGCTCTCTACCCTAAGGGCAGCTTCCAGTGTGGGATGCAGCTATGAGCTAAGACAGATGACATGTTCAGTAATCCGGGCCTGGACCAGTTTGAGGAGCGGATGAGGCCCGAGACATGCTCAGGTGCCACGTGCTTTAATGTCTTAATGAGTCTGTGTGCCATTCTTTATCTTTGTCCTGCTCAGGGAAAATCTTAGTGACAAGTGGGGTCCATTGCTGAGATCACAACAAGAAAAATTAGAAAATAAATAAAAATATGAAGTTAATAATTTCCCTAAAAGAGTTATTTCTTTTTGTCTTATTCCTGATCTCTTTTAATTAATTAATTTTTATTTACATCCCAAATGTTGCCTACCACCTCCCCCAACAGAAATATTCTCTCCACCCCCTCCTTTTTGCCTCTGAGGGGGTGTTCTCATCCAGGTATCCTCTGACCCTGGAACATCAAGTCTTTACAGGATTAGGGGCATCCTCTCCCACTGAGGCCACACAAGACAGTCCTCTGCTACATATGTACCAGGGGCCTCGGACCAATCTGTATATGCTTTTTGTTTGGTAGCTCAGTCTCTGGGTGCTCCCAGGGGTCCAGGTTAGTTGACACTGCTGGTATTCCTATGGGGTTGACATCCCCTTCAGTTCCTTCAATTCTTCCCTTAACTCTCCCTAGGGCCCCCTGGTTCAGTCCAGTGGTTGGCTCTGAATATCCGAATCTGTTTCAGTCAGCTGCTGGTTAGAGCCTTGCAATAGCAATTTTGTGTTGAAAGTTTTGTAGGTGGGTTGGTGTGCCCATCTCTCTACTGAGAGTCTTGTCTGACTACTGAAGGTGGTCTCTTCAGGTTCCATGTCCCCACTGTTGGGCATTTCAGCTAAGGTTACCCACATTGAGTCCTAGGAACCTCCCCCATCCCAGGTCTCTGAACTTTCTAGAGGTTCCCCCCACCCCAACCCCAGAACTAGCACATTTCCATTCATTCTCCTGATCCTATAGGCCTCTCTTCTGTCTCTCCCCATACCTGATCCTACACTCCTTTTCCTCTCTCCCTCTCCTCTCCCACCCAAGTCCTTCCCTCCTTCTGCTTCCCGTGATTATTTTGTTCTCCCTTCTAAGTGAGATTTAAGCATCCTCACTTAGGCTTTCCTTCTTGTTTAACTTCTTAGGCCCCATTGGATGCATCATGGGTATTCTGTACTTTTTGACTAATATCTACTTAGCAGTAAGTACATACCTTGCATGTCCTTTGGGATTTGGGTTACCTCACTCAGGATGATATTTTCTAGTTCCATCCATTTGCCTGTAAAATTCATGATGTCCTTGTTTTTAATAACTGAAAAGTATTTCATTGTGTAAGTGAACCATATTTTCTGTATCCATTCTTTGGTAGAGGAACATCTATGTTGCTTCCAGTCTCTGGCTATTACAAATAAGGCTGCTATGAACATAGTGGAGCATGTGCCCTTGTTATATGTTGGAGCACCTTTGGGTATATGCCCAGGAGTGGTATAGCTGGGTCTTCAGGTAGAACTATCGACAACTTGCCTAATAACCAGCAGATTGATTTCCAGAGTATAGTTGTACAAGCTTGCAGTTCCATCAGCAATGGAGGAGTGTTCCCCTTGCTCCACATCCTGGCCCACATGTGCTGTCACTTGAGATTTTTAGCTTAGCCACTCTGATTGGTATGAGGTGGAATCTCAGGGTCTTTTTGATTTGCATTTCCCTGATGTCTAAGGATGTTGAACATTTATTTAAGTGCTTCTTGGCCATTTGAGATTCTTATTGAGAATTCTCTGTTTGACTCTGTATACCATTTTTTTAATTGGGTTATTTGGTGTTTTGGAGTCTAACTTCTTGTGTTCTTTATTTATTTTGGATATTAACCCTCTATTGGATGTAGGGTTAGTGAAGATCCTTTCCCAGTCTGTAGGTTGATGTTTTGTCCTATTGACTTTGTCCTTTGCCTTACAGAAGCTTTTCAGCTTCACGAGGTCCCATTTATCAATTGTTGATCTTAGAGCCTGAGCCATTGGTGTTCTGTTCAGGAAATTTTCTCCTGTGTTCAAGGCTCTTCCCCACTTTCTCTTCTATGAGATTCAGTGTAACTGGTTTTATGTTGAGGTCCTTGATCCACTTGGACTTGAGCTTTTGTAGGGTGATAAGTGTGGATCTATTAAATAGTCATTTCTTAAGAAGTAACTTCTTCTCACTGGACTTAAGTTCCTGTTAATAGCTCTTTCAGCTTCCTTATATTCTTTTGCCCCTTGAGCTGGGAAGCTATCACCGTCAGAACAGCTTTGCAAACACTGAACAGCTTTGATGCCAACAATAGCAGGGTTACTGTTAGAGCCACTGGCTGTGCAGAGAGTTCAGGCTACGCCCTGAGGCCCATTGATGTGGACTGCTGCTAAATGCTCAACAGAAGATTGATGGGTAGGGCTTGTGGGCAATATTTACCTCTCTCTCAAGTCACGACATGACATCACTGAACACAGAGTTAGGAAAATTTGCACTCAGCTATCTCTAGAGTCCTGGCAAATCCAGGCTGGGATTAACTCCAAGACAGGTTTCACAGACAAATGGGACAAAGTACTGTGGCATGATTCTGAAGGTTGCCCAGATCTATAGCTGAGAAAGGCATCAGAAAAATAGCAACGATTTGCATTGGTGAAGAGTGGGGGATATTTTGAGCCTTCCCAGCACAAGCCACATCTATAGGGATTACAGGGAGAGGTATGCAAGCAGGTTAATTTCCGGAAAACTCGTGTCTAAGCTCCAGGTACTGCCCCAGAGTTTCCTATAGAAACCTATAGGAACCTATAGACTGCACCTGTGGTCCCGTTGTCCTCTCTAAACCCTTAGTTCTTCCCAACTCCACACAGTTACCTCACACCTTGTCAGCATTTTCACACTGATGTTCAGACTCGACTCTATTTGATTCTGTCATATCATTTCCCTTGGATCTTTTAGATCTTCTGTGGCTTCACATCCTACCTGCTATTCTTAGGACCAGACTGTGACTTGGCCCTTCATTTATTTGTTTAAAAGGCCATTAAACAACATCAGGAGACATCAGCCTAAGGCATACTTGAAGAGCAAATGTGCTCTGTGATGTCATCTTGAAAAGGCTTAGATTTTTTTTCATGCAAACATCCCTCCACCCCTCCCATATTCCTTGCAGTATCCTCCAACAAGGAAGCCCTCCAGCCTCACCCCGCAGTCCAGGCTGAGCTCCCTTCCTTAAGCCCTGGGCACAGATGGAGATATCTCTATCCACACCTCTGTTCTGGTACACCCCTCCTCACCTCATATGGTCAGCAACTGGCAAATTCTAGACCTAATAGACATTCTCTAAAGGCTTGATGAATGTATGCAAATACAGGGAAGAAATTACTTGAGGAACCCCTCGTAATGAAGTGGCCTTGTCTTACGTCTGCTTGGCTACTCAGAGAGGATCTAGCTAAAAGGTACACCTGCCCGGGTCATGTCCAAGGACAGAACTCTTTCTCCCAGATGCAGAACTCTCCTAGAAGTTCTAGGGAACAGCCCATTCCCATGTTCTCCAAACCTGCCTTGTGATCAGCATAACTAGACAGGGGCCTGATTCTGGTCCCTCAAATGTGTTTGGATTTCTTGCTGCCATTTTTCTTTCCTGCCCAGCTAGACATCTCTCAACTCTGGGTATTGTCAGAGTTATTTTGGAGAGCCAGGAGAATAAACAATGGACTTTTCCTCTCCTTTTCTCTCCTTTTTTTTTTTTTTTTTTTTTTTTTTTGCCTTTTGGGGAGAGGGGCTCTTTTTTGGTGGTTTGAATTCTTGCTCCTTTTAGAATTTATTTACTGTAGCAGCTTGCCATTTCAGATCCAGGCACAAACAGATTTCAGATCTATGCACAAACAGGGTTGAGCTGGGCATAGATGGCTTATCAGGAGAACTTGGGACCAGCTGGGAAGACCTCAAAGGACTATTCATGAAGGTCTGGAAAGAGGCCACTTATAAAGTTTCAAGTTTTTAGGGCTTTTAGACTGCAGAGTGCTGGTCTGAGACTAGATCCAGCCCCAGGGCATACTTGTTAGGATTCTTTGGTGCCTCTCTTTCAATTGAGTTTCCTGATAATGCTTAAACATCAAAAGTCTGTTCAAGGATACTCTCTCACGTCCTCTTCAGAAGTTCTCTGGCATTCTGTGGCTGAACCTCAAGGTAACAATGGTTAAAACAAAGGCTTCATGCTTTAGCTGGGCCTCAGTTCCTCTCTCCTCCAGCAACCCTGCCAACTCTATGCAGCCACAGCTAAGGGCTCTGTAAGCTCTCCATCTTGGTCCTGCTTCTCAGTGCTTTCCCCTCTGAGGCCTTCCCCCTTCCCCTTGCAGCCACACTTGGCCCTGTATACCTCCAGAGATCTCTGCCTGCCTCTCTGCCCTGCTGTTGTCTAAGGTTTAGGCAGCCAAGCAGTGGGTTGATCAATCAGCTAGATCTCTGTCCTGAGGACCTGTCCTCCCTCTAGACTAGATGGCAGGGCTGGGAATCCCATCTTCTCCAGACACTCCTGGCTTTGCTCCTTCTCCCCTTACAATGCCTCCCTCCTCCCAACTGCCTCTACCCTCAGGTAAGCCCATCTTAGCACCGATCCTCTGATGTAAAAGGTTGTTCTCTTTCCACAGCTGTCCTTTACACCACCACTGACAAACTCCTCCTATAACCTTGGCTTTCATCAAACTGTGTTCCAATTCCTGGCTTCAAATGACAGGTAAGCTGGCTGGGAGTTCCTTAGCAGGGCACTCAGGGCTTATCTTCTAGTTATTTTACTCTTTCTGAAAGTTGCAAGAAGTGTATCAGAGCAGGATATAGGAACTTTGTCAGACTCAGTGTCAAAATCCAGCTCATTTAATGAAAAATAATAGAACTGGAAATTATCATGTTAAGCAAAATAAGCCAGACGAATATCATGTTTCCTCTCATTAAAAAGATAAAAAGTAGCAGAAGACTATTGTAGAACAGGAAGGGAGATAGTGGGAGGGGAGGGGAGGGGGTGAGTGTGGGTGGTGGAGGGATAAATAAGAACAGAACGTCTTATATCCATGTATGAAAATTTCACAACAAACCCTCTGGTTTGTAGACATTAGTATTAATATATAGTTGGACTTCATTCTTCATACCACATTCTGTATGGGGCAAGATGTCCCTTCCCTGGATCAAGGGTCAGAAAACTATTCCTGCAACTATTTTAGACTTTGTGAGCTGCATGGTTTCTACCCCAGCTGCCCACTTCTGTTGTTGAAACACCATAAGCCACTAATACCACACAGATGAATGAGCAGTCTGTGTGCCCATTCAACTTTCTTGATTGGCATATGGTTTTCACATATCACAAAATGATATACTTATTAAATATTAAAATATTAATTCCAAGCCAGGCATGGTGATGGCTTTTATCCATACCATTTGGGAGGCAAAGGCAGGTAGATCTCTATGAGTTCAAGGACAGCCTGGTCTATACAGTGAATTCCAGGAGAGCTTCATAGTGAAACCCTGTCTCGAAAATACCAAAACTCAAAAACCCAAAACCCTAAACCACACATGCACACACAAAATGATATTAATTCTCTCTCAGAGACCATTAATCGCCTGTATCTCGTCATCTCGGAATGGTCCTCTGTGAGAGATAAAGGGCTGCTTTTCTCTAATCTACCACAGTGTGTCAACAGGCATTGTCATTATGCAGGTTCTATTTTGCCTACCATGTTTTTTGAGATTTCATGGATGCAGCTTCCCTGTCATATGGAGAAGACACTCTCTCGAAGCAGATACCCAGACCTCTGTCGCTTAATACACTTATCTCCCTCTTTCTACAATGTTCCCTGAGCCTCAGACCTAAATGCATATACATAAGAACAGCACTAAATTCAGCCAGCTCTAGTTATACATACATACATATATACATACATACGTACATACATACATACATACATACGTGTGGGTATGTGCATGCGTGGCTCTGTGTATGTGCGTGTTTGTGTGTGTTTAAATACAACTAAATAAGAAGCCATGAATTTGATAGGGAGTGGAGGGCCACACCAAAGGAGATGGAGTCAGGGAAGATGGGTAGAAATGAGGTAAACACAGTATTCATATATGAAATTCTCATTAAAAAATTAAAAAAAATGAATGAATGCCATCCTTAGTTTGTAAAATGCTACAAAATAGTTAATGCACCTAATTTTATGCATGGTCCTTAGTTTGCCAACTTCTGCCCTAGAATTAACTTAATTGTTCATTCTTTCCTCTCCTTTCCTCTTTCCATTCCTTCCCCCTCTCTCTGTTTTATGATGACATCATCAACTCGAGGTTGTTCTTAGGTTTTCCTTTACTTTTAGGATTTTGGCAAACACACAGGAAACACAAATGCCAATGGAGAGAGAATGTCTTCAGCAAATTTCCTCTACCCTCTAGCACTAGAAGCAAGAGACAGCATCAGCAAGCATCTTGAGAGCCGGGAGGAAGGTTGTGAAGCTTAAACCCACCTAATGGAACTGAAAAGACCCGGAGGTCCTGATGCTACAGTTCTGAAAATCTGCCTGGCCACACCCTGGAAGGCGTCTCTTACTGTACAACTCCTCCTGCGTGTGGACAAAGACTTCCATCCCATTTGTGCAGCTGGGAATCACTGCTGAGAAAGGTTAAATAACTTTCTTCCAGGCTCAGCACGCCAAGGACAGAAAGCAAGTTGTATCTGCAATTTTTCCTCTCCTAGGGCTGAAGAGTTAGAAGTCCATCCAAGAACACAAGCAATTAAGTCAGGTTTCATTTGCTGAGTGTGGGGCAGAGTCTACTCTGCTGGATAGCACTTCTATCCTAACGTCTCCTCCCTGGGGTTGTGTTTGGCATTTCCCTTGGCCTTCAGAACACAACCTCACATTCTCCTTGTGCCACAGAATAGTCTCAAGCACTTTTTGAGCCATCAGTGGCATTGTGACTAGCTGCCATGATGGAGACAAATGATGTTTGCCTTCCCAGCTCTGGTCTTGCTTTTGCTAACGATGAAATCCACCAGGTTCTTTTGGGAGGAATAACCACCTTCTCGTGTAGCCTGTTAGTTCCTGAAACTAACTCAGTGACTCAGTCCTAGCTAGTCAGAACACTGCATAGCCCTAGGTCTGGAGATGTGCTCTAGAAGAAGTGACGTGGGGCAGGTAAAAGGGCAGAATCAAGAGATGGGAACCACTGGCAAAGAAAAAGGTCTGTACTTTGATTACTTAGCTAGGACAACATGAGGCTAATGTTGCCAGGAGACACCTTGAAGAAAGGGCCTGCCTCAGAGCAAGGCAAACATAAGGAGAGCAAGGCTGAACATGGAGAGAGAGAGAGAGAGAGAGAGAGAGAGAGAGAGAGAGAGAGAGAGAAAGAGAGAAGCCAAGCTTGGGGCATAGGGAGTGTGAGGCCTTCATGTCTGAAGCCAATGGCATCCCTCATGCAGATGAAACAGGATTCAGGAGCTCTGTCTTCTCCTTCACTACCATGCTGAGCCCTTTCTATACCTTGCTTACACATCTTCTGTTTCCTGAAGTCCTCCAGAAACACTTCCAAATTCATCTGAGATGGCAGGCCAGACCATTTTCCTGGAAGCATTCCCAAGCTCTTCATGACATAGATCCCACAAAATCTTCTTCCCCTCAGAATCACCTCCTTGTGAGTAGAGCAATCTCATGAAAATGAACAGAGACGGTGGATTCAGGAGCTTTGGGAAACAGAGCTTTGAGGCCTGATGGACTGTGCAAATATGGCCCTATTTTGAGGAGGCAGTAGTTTGGGGGCTTATTATGACCCATTTTTACCATCCGCTTCTGCCACTTTCCTCTACCAAGATCACTACACTGTTGGATGCATGATACACGTTTTCTCATGTGAGAAAACCTCCATTCTGTTCTCATCAGGCTCCAATGTCATACATTCTATTGTCTTCTTAATCTAAAGATGCCTTTCTGTCACCCTGAGTTCTAGTTTGCTTTGACATTGCTAACCCCAAAAGCAACTTGGGGAAAGAGAGTGACCAAAGGAAGCTAAGGCAGGAACTCAAGGCAGGAACCTAGAGGCAGGAATAGACAACTGTTTATGGGTTTGTTCCACTGGCTTGCTCAGCTTGCTTCCTTGTATAACCCAGGCCCATCTGCTTCAGGATAGTCCTGTCCACAGTAAGCAGGGCTCTCCCAAATCAATCGCCAATCAAGAAAATGCCCCATAGGCCAACTGGATGGAAACTATCCCTCAATGGAGGGCCCCTCTTTCTAAGTAACTCTAATTTGTGTCAACTTGACAAAAACTAGTCATTCTCTAAGAGTTGATATTAAATCACTTAAGATTCATTATATGTATCTAATATATGATTACCCCTTGGTTTTTTTATGCTCATACTCCTATTAGTAGGGCTCTTAGTCTTCATCCTCACAGGGCCTTAAGTATTAAGTCCAAAACCAGACAGGAATCATGCTGCAAGAATCCACATGATGAGACTCGACGCTTGATCCCAAAAAGAATCATGCTACACTTTTAAAAGAGTCTCTTAAAAATGAGAACACAAAATTAAAGGAAGTCATGATCCTATGATGTAAGCGCAAAGCCAACTTTTCCAAACACTGTGTGCACTGGGGACAGGTTGACCCAGGAGTAAGACAACTGTAGAGGGGGCAGGAAGTCCCTAGGGGTCCCTGGGAGGAGGTCTGGGATGGTGGGGAAGTAAGGCAGGGAAAACAATAGCACCTTTTCTTGCTTCCACACTTACCTGATCACAGACTGAGGCTCTTAGCAATGTTATGAGAACTGTAGCACCAGTGGAGTTCAAATGCATTTTTAATATCTTCTAAATGCGTAATTTGGTTTTGCTAGAGAAGTGTTTCATCATTCCCTCCTGCCCCTTAATTAAGCTAATGACTTTATTTCCTTTCCCCTTTCTGATCAGCTCATAACACATTTCCCAGGTCGGCCTCCCTCCTCAAGCCTGTTGTTTTGGATCTGATTATTAGCTGTCAAGCTCACATGTTTTTCCATGTGTTGGGATGTTACTGAATGAGCTTGGTCTGCTCAGGAGGTTGTGGGGCTCGGGGACCCCAGCTGGCGCCATCCTCGCGCTCTTACAAAGAACAAAATCCCTTACATGTGCATACCCCCTAACAATTTACACGCACACGCACACACATTATCTCAGCTGATGCTCATGAGAAATCACAGAGGCAGGCATTATTAACCCTCCCATCTTGTCTCATAAGCCAGGAGTCTAAGAGCGGAGATATTGATGACTAACCTGGACCAAACAGCAGGATGTTATTAAAGCCGAGCTTCGTTCCCCCTCTACCCGTATTCTTTGTTCCTCCTTCTACACCTCTCGGCTCATCCCACACAAAAGATGGACCGAGCTCACTGCATTGTTCTGAGCACTGTGTTCATGTATTCTTAGAAGTAAGTGGAGATCACTCAGGGTGCCTCACAAGGATCAAAGAGGAGCCATGGGCTGAGTAGAGCACTGTCACTTCCTAGCTCTCTGTGTGTCAGGGGCACTTCTCAAGGACTCCAGAGTTGCCAGCTCTATCCTCAGTGTGTCCAATGATGGAAGCCCTGGGGGTCGGGCTTTAGTCTGGAGAATGGCTTTATTAGGGTTGTCTAAAAGCTCCCAACCTGCTCAGGAGCCCCATTTGGGTGGGATGGGTCAGGGATGCCCAGTGTCCTCCGAAGTCTACCACTCACAATCAGGAATCTGGAAACAAGAACTTAATTGTTTCCAGATAAGTGAGGAAATTGCAAAGTGACTTTCAGGGCCAGGAGAGGCCAACTCTTGAGTCTCTTGCTGAGACTAAGTTAGGCAACTTTCTTCAAAGCTGAGAAAATAATAGGTCTGACAAGACATGTGACCTGTGTAAGGTCACTCACCAAGAGAGATGAGGCTATCTTGCAAGGAAATGTGTTGGTAAGTGACTCCACACACCAGGAGATGGAATATGTGTAGGGCACAGTAGAAGGTTCGAATCTGCTCTGATGACTTACATTGTCAGAAATGTCCTTTATTATCAGGAAAGCCAACGGGACTATGTCATCTCATGGAAGGGACAGAACTACTCTATGTGGGGCACTTGGTGCTGGGTCAAGTCAGGATCATTGAGCTAAGCAAGGCTTTCTGGACCAACCACAGAGACGAATCTACAGCATTCCCAGTGGGAACAATCCTAGCCTATAGATGCTGGTCCAACAAAGCTCAGGCACCCCCATCTTCTCCATCAGTTCCTATGCATGGCCTTTCCCTATAGATAGCACTGGGAACCCAAGCCTTCTGCTCAATACTTCCTTGTTAGCAAAGTGAGAAGAACTGTAGAAAAGAACAGTACGGGCTCAGTAACAGTCTCCTGTATGCCCATGTACTAAAATCAAACAGTGCTTTTATAAAGCCTTCCAAAAATGTCATCCGGGCCAGGAATCTGATCACAGGAGCTCTGCTCCATCTCCTTGGACAATGAAAGGAAATTGAAACAGATGTGGCAGCAAGCTGCTCATGAGGAGGAAGAAAGCAGGCTCAACCTCTGCACCGAACAAGCCAGGGGGCCAAACGAAACCAAAGCAGTTCCTCATAACCCTCAACAGTCTGGCTGACTCTGAGCCATGTTGGAATACTGTGATGTGGAGACGGGACTAGGGATTTTGGCACAGAACCATCAAGGAGGGCATAAACTCTGAGCTGCTCAGGAAAATAAACGGGCCCTTTCACCAATAGATTGACCATTATGCCCAAGATAGTTATGGCTTTAGCTTACCTCTTGCCCACAGGAAATGGAACAGATGAAAGGCGAGTGCCTGGCCAAAAAGTGAAGACCAGGTCAGAGGTTGGGGGAGGGCAACAACACTGAGTAACTGATAACCCTTCCCTTCGTCACCCTATCCAAGAGACCAAGCCTGCAGGAGCAGCTGCTGACTCCCCAGGGTGCTGAGATGGACAGAGATGACACAGTTGGCCCCTCTGGCACAGTCTGCTGTAAAGTCACCTAGGTGAGCTATGGCCTCAGATCTGCTGTGCTCAGGAGAACCTGCATGGTGTGGGATAATATTAGTTCACTCTTATTGCCATGAGCTGGATGCCCTCTGGGAGCTTGGCCATAAACCTTTGATCTGCTGGGCTTTGGGAGCTTCAGAGTCCAACCTCTGTCCAGCTCCAGCTTGCCCACACACTCCATGGGGCCAGCTCAGAAAAAGAGGCTGGCCTGGGGCAGTCATTTGGCTTTCCTCTGCAGACAGCACCAGCTCCTGCAGCAGTTTGAGAAGCTGAGAAGAGAGGACCATTGTATCGCTGTGAAGTTCTCCAATACCAGGGATGCTCCTAGAACCCAGATCCTGGGTACCACATTCCTCGTTGCCACACTGTGCCTGTATGGAGTCGTATTTCTTCCCTTCGAATGAATTCAACATATTCAAGCTGAAATGTATTTGGTAAGGAAACACTTCAACAAACAGACAAACAAAACAAAAAAAAAAAACCCTAACAACAAAAAACCACAAAAAATAAAAACAAAAATCCAAGAACCAAAAAATAAAACAAATGCCTCACCCCCACATACACACGTTGATAATGATAACACTTGCTTTGAAAGAATCACTGTAAGGAAAATGAACAGTACTTGCCAAATC